TGGTGGGGGGAAGAAACTTTTGTGGGTTTATAATCTTATTCCCTTGATAGGCCTTCAAAGGCTTTAGTGGACCAAGGAATAGGCCAAGCCCACGCGTGCGTCTAGCCTAGCCTAGCACTAGCCGACGCCGCGAGTGCACGATTTAGGCGCACTTTGCACTTCACACGACGCATCAGTCGCTGGGAGCTGAGGAGCTTTTATTTTTGACAATTTCGGGTCAAGTCGGTTTGACCGATCCGGTCAAATGGTTGACCGCCGTTGACTTCGTGGAGGACAAGTCGGGATATTCTAGAAGGATCAGGAAACGGCTTGCTTGGAGAGCAAGCCGTCGCCCTAGGGTTTCTGGGGCGGGCCTGTTACATGCCTTCTAGGGTTTCAATATCTATAAATACAGCTCCCTAGGAGCCATATTGACTACTCACGAAAATCAGAGCTCTCTCCCACTCTCTGTGTTTTTTCCTGGTTTCCGAGTATTCGCTTTGTGTTTGTCGATTTCCAATGCTGTTGGAAGATCGATAGATCTGCATTAAATCCTGGGGTTTTACTCTGTTGCTTACAGCCAGTAGAAGCGAAGTAAAAACCTTTAAGGACAGGAGTCCGATCCGTGCAATTGTTTCAAGTTCAAGATCAACTATCAACAGGTCGGTTTTACTTTTCTGTCTTGCATTTAATTTCGTCCAACAACATGACATTCTTCTTCTTCCTTTCTTATAATCAGATCTAATCGTGAAGGATTGATCTGGTTTTGAACAAAACTTGGTAAATATAATAATAATAATTGGATTTGTTATTCGCAACTAATCGACATATAATTCTCAATATTATTTGTCGGTTTCCTTGCGTGTCTATTAGTTTGATATACAACATGTTTATTATTATAGTAGATACAATCTTTTTTATTAAACAAAAGACAATTTTTTTTAAAATTAACCCAATATTAATTCCTACGAATTTCCGAGGAAAAACCTGCACCATAATATTCCCTAAGAAAGGCATAGGAACTTCCGAATGATTTCCAAAGAACTGCATTTAAACGTCTTTTTCTCGACTTCTCTTGGAACTCCTTCGGAAATTTGCAGTACCTTTTGTTCCGCAGGAAAACTTTTAAAACACTTTATCCATATTTTTCGAGGAAATCCCTCATAAATGTGTAGCAACTTACGAGCAAAATATTTCTTTAGAAATTTTCATAGGAACATATGCATTTTTAGTGACCCCGCTATTTTGGTCGTATCGAGAATAAATTTATCTTAGAAAAATATGTACTTCCTATTTCCCCACTTGTATAAAATCAAAGTTTGAATTCCATTGCAATCTTACAATTTTCATTACACTAAAAGGACTTGATGGTAGTACCGTAGTAAAATCAATAACAACTATGATTCTTGAGGTCTGCTGTTTTGGGTACATTTTCCATCATTGTAAGGAGGAAAAGATCATTTGAACATTGGCCAACGGACTTGGACAAATAAAAAGGTCGGGGGTGATTTATGGAAAGGATTCAACGACTTGATTCTTTCTTGATAGGTAATCATCTTCTACGGTTTCTTAAGTTGATAATTAAGTTTAATAATATGTGACATAAACAAAAAACACATAATTTTTTTCCATGTTCACTGCAATATTTTTTGTAATTTTATGTTTGTTCTTAAGAATTATCTTTATGTATTATTAATATTTTTCACACAAATTTTTGATCTACGAACGTGATCATATTTGTGTTCTACTTTTTAATTCTTTTACGGAAATTGACCAAAGCTCCCCGGATTTTTAAACTAATCTCAATGGGTCTCATGCTACTATAAACGACATAAAACCCGACGAAATTTTGTCGTCCTCAACGACGCTTTCAACCAATGAAAAAAAAAGACTTGATATTTTTTACTACTTTTCAGTAATAAGTCCATTAAAATTATTATATAAAAACGAAGGGTTTGTCTTATTGTTTTAAGAAGAGTCCAAAATGATATTTTAGATTGAATAACAACGAAAAGATAATGTTATTAATTAAGGCGACTATGTATGTGCATAAATATAATTAAGACATAAAAATTTTCCAAGTACATCCACACCATATAAAAGACCACTACTAGTTCCAATTTTAGATTCAATGAACAAATCGTCGACGATTTACCACAATATTAAAAGTAATTTGTGTTGGATAATATTTTATATTAGGGCAATTTCAGTGTAGATAAGCAGAAATGGGTCCATTTTTAAGTTATGTTTTTTGAATAATCAGTCAAATTAGGAAACAAGAAAAGGCAAAATACATCAAAAAAATCACTGTCATTTGAGTGATTTACCTGAAAATTTAATAATTAATATTATTCGAAAACA